CCAGGAAGTGGTGGTAGGAGGGAGAAAAAATATGTTATGTATGCAAATAGCAATCAAGCACCTTATCATAAAACATTATGTTTTTCCGACGTGTCCCTTTAAATTCTCGATCCAAATGCGCCAAATATCATGTTTATATTACATGTTTGCTGCAGGGGATAATCCCCTGACGTGATTGGCTGAATTGATCACTGCAATCTTCCGCCTGCATCTGGCAGCTCGGCGGAATGCATCGGCATGGTAACAAGGGGGGTTAGGGGTGAGGACAGGGGTGAAGGGGTAAGGAGGTGATGTCATCTTATGTCTCCTTAATGTTCTTTAGTGGGACTCAGGGTCATAAACACAGACACCGGGGTAAACAACACTAGTAAAAACCCGTCCCTATAGGCCTTCCAACAGAAACAATGATAAGAGGAAGATGAAGATGATGTTTGATGGTGACGATGATGATGATGGTGATGATGGTGATGAAAAGTATCAAGATGATGAAGATGACCACAAGGAGGCACAACAGAGGAGGCTGATGGGAGGAGCAATAGGAGGATGGGCTCATTGGAATGGCTGGAATGGAATAAATGGAACAGAGTCAAACGTGGTATCCATATGTTTGATGTGTTTGATAGTGTTCCATTAATTCCATTGCGCTATTACAATAAGCCGTCCTCCTATAGCTCCGCCCACCAGCTTCCACACACACACACACACAATAGTGCAAGTGTGTGCAGCCATCAGAAAACACACGAAGCACACAGGGATGTGTGTGTGTTTACATGGATCAAAAACACACTCTTCAGCGAGGACCAAAATATTGAAGTGTGTGTGTGCTGTTACAGTAAATATCTCTCTCTCTCTCTCCTCTCTCTCTCTCTCTCTCTCTCTCTCTCTCTCTCTCTCTCTCTCTCTCTCCCTTTCTAAAACTCTCACTTTGCAATCATCCATCATCCGCTCTCTCTCGCTCTCCCTCTGTCTCTCTCTATCCTTTTCACTCCCCCTCATTTCTCTCTCCCTCACACATTTTCTACACAAAGCAATCAGCTGACAGATAGGTGAAGAGCTGCAGAGCAGAGGTCCTGGATACTACAGAACACTTGCTAAATGCTGAGCTGAATGCCATCGAAGGATGAGTACAGAAATAGAGAGAACCCGACTTCTCAGAGCCCTGGAGCTAGTCAACAAAGCCCAGAAGAAAGGAGAGAGAGAGAGAGGAGAGTAGAGAGATGAGAGAGAGCGAGATGAGAGAGAGAGAGAGAGAGACGAGAGAGAGAGAGAGAGAGAGATAGAGAGCGTAGAGAGATGAGATGAGAGAGAGAGAGAGACAGACGACGAGAGAGAGAGATGAGATGCACGAGAGAGATAGAGAGAGAGAGAGACGGAGAGAGAAGGCAAGAGGGGAGAGAGAGAAGAGGGAGAGAGAGCAGTGCAGAAGAAAGAGGCTCTTTCAACAGTGGAAGCAAACTCTCTGTTCGGAATGCTGGTATCAAGTTATGGGGCTTGGTGCCCGACTGTTCCCGGAATGTCTTCCAGAACTGACAACAGGGGGTTCTGGAATTAATTACCGATCTTGGGGACATGTAAGGGAATGTTCCTCTGGCCTCGGTCGGACCGTGTGCGGTCCAAACACGACCACACCCTCATTACACCACGAGTCTCGTCGGTTCAACCGAGCGTCTGAACCCTGTCTTGTTAACTTAATGACGAGGAAAATTGTGTGTGTGTGTGTGTGCGCGCGCGTGTGTGTGGGTGCGTCTGTCTGTCTGTCTTAAAATGTTTTGACTTGAGCATCATTATGAAGAAAAGTTCATGTCTACATTGCCATAATGACAATGTGCATGACCCTTCAGTACACTGGCAATGTTTGTCTGGATGTGTAATAAATATGTAGTAGTAGGGGGTAAAGGGCAATGTGACTTTGTGTACACACAATTAAAAGGTCAAATTCAAATTGTGCAGTCCCATAGAGTCTGACCTCCACCAGACATGATGCATCTTGGGATACATTTATTGACAATGACAATCTTCTGTATCCTTTGTCTGGCCACAGCCACCTCTGAAGGCCTTGTAGACTGTATAAAACCAGACTGGCTGGCTGGGCTATGCATTATGTACATAGCTAATGCCACTTATCCTGAAAGAGACTGATACTCACCACTCAGAGTGGTGTTAGTTAGAGAACACATTCTGAAATTGCATTTTTGTCCCCCCCCAGTTTTATCATTGGAATGTCATACAAAACGAGGCAACGGTGTGCTTTACGACCATGCGGACGCCTCCGAGTGGTCGGGTAGGCTGTTGGGAGTGTTTATCCCGACTGGATAAAAATTAAAATTAAAATTACAACAACAAAAAATTATGTCCCCCCCTTCTAAAACCAAAGTTGCGCCCCTGCCGACTGCTATGGGTGTGTGTGTGCTGGGATGGGCAAAAATTACAAAATACAATGACAAAATACAGATACAAAATACCATAACGATCAATGTAGCAAATTAAGCAACAAAATATTTATATTTTGTAATGTATTTAATTAAAATACATGTATTTTGTATTTTAAAATACAAAAATAAATTTGTAACCGGCCCGAACAGCAACAACATTCTCAGTAACGGTTAAAAAAAAAAAAACGTTTTACTTGCTATGACTGTGATATGTTGTTGTTTAACTACCTTAGTGGAGCAAGTCACTCTGGATGAGCATATCTGCTAAATGACCTAAATGTGTATGTAAAAATGAACATACCAAAATGAACTGCAAAGCACACTGTGTATTGTTTTGGGGCAGAGCTCATTAGAATAATACTCAGCACGCTTTGCAGTTGCTCATTTTTACATACACTGTACATTTATATTTAGTTCATTTAGCCGACACTTTATCACACCATAGTGATATTAGACTTATAATACCAATGCAGGGTGAAAGGGGGGACACAAAATGTGAACCGCGTTTTTTTTAAATAGAAAAGTATTTTGTATTTGGAAAATACAAATTACATTATTTTGAAAATACAAAAAATATTGGAGTGTAGTTCAGCCCAGTGTAATTCAAATGACAAAATATTCAGAAGTAATTAAAATACGAATTTCAAATACAAAAATACTTCCAATCTGTGTGTGTGTGTGTGTGTGTGTGTGGATTTTCCTCTAAACATGAGTTTCAGTTTTGCTAAATAGAGAGTGGCTTAAACTATGACTGAATAAAATGCACATGACATGTGCCAGCAGCATCTCTAGCAACCAATTCAAAGAAGACAGCTGTTACAGGAGGGGGTAGCAGTTCCGGAGCGACCCACTAGGTGTCATCCTCCGACAACCTTAGGCACCTCCTCACTCACAGTCTGGACTAACCATGATCCTATTGGTGTCACCTGGGTCTACCTGTTCACCTGTGTATTTATGACCTCACTTCCCTGTGTTCCCTTGCTCAGTTTTCTCTGTTAGTTTCTCTATGCTCAGCAGTACTAATCAGTGTCTGATCGGAGAGGTATGTACAGGTACTCGAGAAGTGTTCTCCCTGTTTCTTTATTATTTCAATCATAGTTACTATTTCGTATTTTGGCTATCAGCCTGTTTTTGGAGACTTATTTGCTCCACCTTTCTTTTATCGTGTTAAGTCCATTGTTTTGCATCCTGGCTTTGGGACCACCATCTCTGCCTACTGCACCGCACCTGGGTCACACCTCACACCAACCCTTACAGACAGCGCTCTCTCAACCTCCCCTCTAACCCTCCCCTCTCTCTTTCTTCCCTGCCTCACTCTGTCTCGCTCTACATTTCCCTCTCGTTCAACCACCCGAATCTGCCCTTTTCCATTTCTCTCTGTTTCACTGATGTTCCACCATCAGTGAAAGCTGGCCACCACTCTCTTTCTCTCTAAACAGGACATCCTCCTCCCACCACCTCCCTGTCAAACACAGGCATCACCGATCTCCAACAGTGACCATGTATGCACAGAGAGAGAGAGAGTGATTTTCCCCTCTGAGTGGCACTTGATCAATCAAGGCTTCTCAGAGAAATAATAGCCCTCTTCTTGTCAGTGAGTGAGCTTGGCACAGCACATGTGATTGTAATAACAACACAGAGAAGACATAAAGCAGAGGGCATAAGTGCTACCATCAAGCCATATAATATTCACTTTAAAGACATAGAGACAGAGGCAGAGTGGGCTTTTCAATGGGCTACTACACTAACAAAGAACACCCACCTTGGACTCTGCTATCTTATCTTGGCTCAGAGCAAATAACACAACATATTCTGCCCATGATTGCTCCATCATGTCCCCCTTAAGAAAGCATAGATTCAGACGCGGCTGAATTCTTCAGGGATTCCAAATCATGATGCCTTAATAGCCCTTTATACACACAAATTCTGGTCTAGAATCCCAGGTTTCCTCAAATCCATCCTTCCAAATTTCTCAAATAGGGGGGGTTGAAATTCAATTTTCATACCTATCAATCAATGCTGAGGTCATTAATGTCAGACCTAGTGAAATGAAATGGCAGCATTTCTCTTCTTTTATTAGCCTGCGTTATATAAGGGGAGACCTCCTTACAGTCAACCTTTCAAAGTAGGGCAATGCCAAGTTAATTTAGGATAATCTCTTCCCAGGCTGTCTGTGTAGTTTGACTGACTGACAGATTCACACTTGGCTCAGTATTGAATCAGTACATATTGAAGTAGAGAAGTTCTTCAGGAATAGAAAATGGCCCTTTTTAAGACTAAATTGTGTGTTCTAGCCTACACACTCAGTCTTTCTTTCGATTTCAATCAAATTCTATGCCAAGTTCAAATGTGATTTCAATGTTATAGGCCTAGCATGTTGCTGTTTGTGGCTTTAAAATAACTGCTACAGAACCTAGTAGATGTATATGTCAAGGCATGTTAGAGAGCAGTCTTGATTGTGTTTGCAGGCAAGCCAGCAGCAGTGGGCAATTTCTGTCTTGACAATAGCATCGTATTGAAGTGATGTCTCTGGTAGACACTGCGAGGTCCCGGACAGCTGACAATAGGCTACCCAGTCACAAAGCCCCCTCTCATGTTGTTTACATTGGCCTGCTCTGACTTGACCTCGGCCTTGGGAAGCACAAAATATACAGTTACAGATGTCAATTAATTACATGTCAATTAAACTAGGTTATAACCCTCTAATTATGCAGCATTCATTTTGTTGGAACAAATACCGTTCATTCAAGGTTGATACCAATACATATTATTTACACACTTTCGTATCATATGACAATGTCAGGCAACAACACTAACCAGTGTGCGCGCCGTTCAAACAGGCTGCCAAGATCATGTGCAGCTAAACAAAAGACAGGCGCATTTCTCCGCACCTAATCATGCCCTCTCTCTCTCACCAGTCCGGGCATGACACACAAAAGGAAAAGTAGCTGTTGTAAACACAGACCATTGGCCTATCCTTTTAGATGCGCACTCGAATATTTTTTTTTTCTACATAGGGATTCAATGCAATGCGCAATACTATGAAGGAAAATAATTAACGCATGTATAGCTACTGCATTGACAATAACTTGTGTCAATTGGCATGGGCTGTCTTGGTGACTGGTGGGTTGTGTAGGCTACAAGCAGGGAACCCGATACATCGCGACTGAATGGAACCGGGACGGGACGGGTACTTACGCTGCTGTTCTCCCCCGTCCAGTGCACCATCGCCTGGTTGTGAGTGGCATCCCCTTTGAGCACGAACGAGCTGCTGAGCAGGGACACTTTCCCTTGGGATAGTGCTCTCCTGAAGCGCGGGGATTCCACGTCGCCCGCGTTCCCATCATTATCACCCAAGCCCGGTCCGAACACTTCTTCTCCCCCGTCTATGCCTACAACGCCGCCGCTGTCAAGCATACGATCCCCGTTGCTACGGTGTAAAACGCCGCTGTCACATCGCACGGGTCTCATCAATGACATCCAAGCTGATGCGATAACCACGGCCAAGCACAGGTGCGCTGAAACGATTCCTTTCGGACGCAGAGATACCATGCTTCGTGCAATTAGGCCTATAGCGCTCATATCGCGGATACTGACAGAGAGACTGCGATGCGAGTGGAAGATAGATGGCTATACTGTCAGCGGAGAAAGAGGGAGGGAGGGAGGCTGGGAGAGAGGGAGCGGAACTGGAGCGAGGGCAGACACTCGAAACAACGTGGTCGTGTCTGTGTGCCAACTAGAGGACGCGCGCGGTGCACATATCATGGGCGCCATCTGTTGACGCAAGCTCGTACTGTAAAACATTGCTATTTCTTCGAGACTAAATTATTTGACTTGACCCCTTCCCACAAGATGACATAGGCCTACTATCCTCAAACATGGTGGATAAATGAAGATAGTTCACTCGGGCCGTTTACCATTGAAAACATATTTAAGTTCCGGTCTGCTTAATGGGTGGCTATCCAATTGGTGTGATAGCAGTTGGGTCTGGGCCTCTTTCCCAGCTGAGATGTAAGTTAAGCATTACGATGACCATACCAGATGCATCGTTATTTACGAGCCAACATTTTAAGTGTTTCCCAAGCAAACGCGTAGAGTGAAACTGTAAGTGCCACAGCCAAGAGCGTCGTTTGGGCCGTGTTCGGTTTTTCACATGATCCTGTTAGGGTAGCTGTCCAATTCCCAGGTGCTGAAATCGACGTAAGCTAGACCTATACATTTCGCGGAATATTTTTTATGAATTAAAATAAATAACACCATGATCTACAACCTAACCATTTTTGTCATGTAATGTTACTTGATTGCAAGATTTGAACCCCGGGCGTCTTCTTACCTCCACTGTGCTTTAACACACAGCACCACAATATATCGGTCTCAGTTTCCTTTATACAGTAACTGACCCTCGACTGCACACATTTTGTTTTTTCAGTCCGAGTATCTCATCTCGGGGAAGCCTGTACTTTTGAAGGATAGCCCCATCATTGCGAGTCTGCAACGGGCTCAGTGAGAATATGCACATTATATAGCCTACACCAACCGACTGAGCGGCCGGCGCCGGTTATGTTGGAGAGCAACAATCCACTGAATAGCAGCCTTGCTGTATTATTGATGTTGTGCTGACCTCTGACAATGGCTTGGCGTTTATAGTGTTCCAGGGGTTTCTAACTTGTCAGCCTGGTCTCATAGACTAGATGTAACATAGTAAACATAAATCCAGCACACTCAAATTAGTATGATAGGCCTATGTTATGTTTTGTATGGTTACTTAAGGCACAAACTAAAGTAGGGTGGTTGGTTGGTTGGTTGGTTGGTTGGGTGGGCGTATAACATAAACGTCTAGCATCCCAAAGATTGCTAGTTTGAATCTCATCAAGGAAAACTTTTGCATTTGAGCTAATTATCAACTTTTCAACTACTTACTACCTTTTAGCTACTTTGCAACTACTTAGCATGTTAGCTAACCCTTCCCCTAACCCTAACCCTAACCTTAACCCTTTTAGCTAACTCTTCCCCTAACCCTAACCATAACCCTTTTAGCTAACCCTTCCCCTAACCTTAACCCTTTAACCTAACTCCTAAACGTAATCATAACCTTAAACCTAATCCCTAACCCTAACCCCTAGCCTAGCTAACGTTAGCCAGCTTGCTACCACTAGCCACCTAGCCACCTAGCTAAAATCCGTAACATATCATACATTTTGAAAATTCGTACCACATAGTACGTTTTGCAAATTCGTAACATATTGTACGTTTAGCAAATTCGTAACATATAATACGAATTGTAATTCGTAAAATATAATATGAAATAGGTGATGGACATCCACAAATGAATACATACCATAGGAAACGTAACATACCATACTAACCGGAGTGTCTCAGATTTACATACAGAAAAATACAAAATGCTCTGAGACCAAGATGAATTTGTAGCCTACTGGATAAGATCAGCTATGTATAAAATTAAGCTTGACAAAATGTTACAAATGCATATTTAACATTTACATAAGAACAAAAAAGGACAGCACTCTGGTGAATACATTTAAATGAACATATTTTTATTGCCTCAGGAATGTTTCAGGTATGAGCCCTTCTTCAGCATGCATAGGAGGCAATAGAGTACCACAGTATGAGTATTAATACCCATAAAACCTAGCGGTCAAACAAGGAAATGGTTCCAATCGTTTTTCCACTATTCATTTTTCTCATAGGGGATTTTACAAACACTTAAAATAAGGGCTATGTTTCGTGTAGGCTTACCCTGGCGTGACGTTTTGATAACCGTGTAACTTTAGGACAAGGTGACTTTTATCAATTTATTTGCCTGTATTTGTTTGACCGCAAGGTTTTATGGGTATTATGATACCTTCACGGCTCTATGGCAATCAATGTCATGACAACAATACAGGCTACACACAGGTGGGCATAATTATAGATTCTCAAAGTCAGTATTGGCCCAATCAAGAGATCGCAGTAGAGGGAGCTGTGGGGGAAACATGAAAATAAAAGACAAATAAATATATATATAAACAAACACACAATAAAGATACATTATGATATCATAGCCTAAATGTTAGGAGGGTATTTACAGCCTACATATTAGCCTTCTACAGAATAACACAAAAGGAACATTCTTCTCTCCTCGCAAGTGTGCTCAAGCGGTCTATCCAATATGTCTCTCTTTGGAGAACTCTCTTATCCATCCCCATTCGGATGAGAGGTTAAAAAAGGTTTGAGGTAGCGTAATATTTTGTATATGTGCTTAAGTATTCCTGTAACTTGTATTACGTGGATAAGACCAAACGTAAACTTAAGACAAGGATTTGTGAGCATGTGAGAGCTCCATTCGCACCCATGTTGAAATATCACCTGTTGCCAGGCATTTCAATTGCCATAATCATGAACTAAGTGCCTTACGTTATACGGGCATTGAATCGGTAAATGTGCCATGTAGGGGAGGAGTTAGGGATAAATTAGCCTGCTTCTCCAAAGAGAGACACATTGGATAATTCGAAATATGTATTTAGTAACATTTTTACTATTTTTGTTCTTTGGATTACATATAATTCCGCACCGGATCTAAGTTTATATCAGGTGGAGTCGAGCACGTTGTTAATCTTTTCATGAAACATTACATATCCTATAGCCTACATTACCCAAATGGAACATTACATATCCTATAGCCTACATTACCCAAATGAAACATTAGATATCCTATAGCCTACATTACCCAAATGAAACATTACATATCCTATAGCCTACATTACCCAAATGAAACATTACATATCCTATAGCCTACATTACCCAAATGAAACATTTATCATCCTATGATCATGCCCCTTCACACAAAACATTTAGGCCTATAAATTGTTTTAGGTAAGGCAGAGAATAAGCCTAATAATACACTTTGGCTGCTCTACAAGTGGACTGGATCACTAACAGCCTAGATGTGCGAAGGTTTTTAAGAGCCACGTTACTAATGAAGGCTCTGGGAAGCACATCGGCTACTAAGGATACATAGTAAGATGGTTCTAACAATGATCTTAACGCTTCGAAGGCTCTGGGAAACGAGGCCCTGGTCTTTTTTAATTGAACCAGAAAAAATTAGGGACTGGGATGTCTCACTTGCTTCCTCTTCCGTCTCTGCTATCCTGTCGGATATGTTGTCAGCGGCTTTCCGTTGCTGAGAGTCCATTTGACCCTAGGCGTGTACTATTATGTAGTCTAACATGCTGACTAGACCGCTCGCGTGCGTACCATCTCACGCATGTTGATTTTGTCCACCCACACCAGACACGATCAGGATACGCAGGTTGAAATATCAAAACGAACTCTGAACCAACTATATGAATTTGAGGACAAGTCGAAAAGCATTAAACATTTATGGAAATTTAGCTAGCTAGCTTACTGTTGCTAGCTAATTTGTCCTGGTATATAAACATTGGGTTGTTATTTTACCTGAAATGCACAAGGTCCTCTACTCCGACAATTAATCCACAGATAAAAGGGTAAACCGAGTTTGTTTCTAGTAATCTTTCCTCCTTCAAGCTTCTTCTTCTTTGGACTTTATATGGCGGTTGGCAACCAACTTTAAGGTGCATTACCACCACCAACTGGACTGGTGTGTGGACCTCAGTTTATCTTTCAATCACCCACGTGGGTATATGCTCCTAAAAACCAATGAGGAGATGGGAGAGGCGGGACTTGCAGCGCGTTAATCATCACAAATATAACTGCGTGAGCAGTGTGGGTGCAATGATTGAATAACATATATGTTATTCATATGTGTAGAGGGTAGTGCGTACGGCCCAGTACATCACTGGGGCAAAGCTTCCTGCCATCCAGGACCTCTATACCAGGCGGTGTCAGAGGAAGGCCCTCAAAATTGTCAAAGACTCCAGCCACCCTAGTCATAGACTGTTCTCTCTGCTACCGCACGGCAAGCGGTACCGGAGTGCCAAGTCTAGGTCCAAAAGACTTCTCAACAGCTTCTACCCCCAAGCCATAAGACTCCTGAACAGCTAATCATGGCTACCCGGACTATTTGCACTGCCCCCCCACCCCATCCTTTTTACGCTGCTGCTACTCTGTTAAGTATTTATGCAAAGTCACTTTAACTCTACCCACATGTACACATTACCTCAACTACCTCAACTAGCCGGTGCCCCCGCACATTGACTCTGCAACGGTACCCCCCTGTATATATAGCCTCCCTACTGTCACTTTATTTTACTTCTGCTCTTTTTTTTCTCAACACTTTTTTTGTTGTTGTTGTTTTATTTTTACTTTTTTGTTTAAAATAAATGCACTGTTGGTTAAGGGCTGTAAGTAAGCATTTCACTGTAATGTCTGCACCTGTTGTATTCGGCGCATGTGACCAATAAAATTTGATTTGATTTGATTTGTACATTACATCTGGGCTAGCATGGGCAGCAAATAAATGGCTATTTCCATTTTAAAATAGTCAATTTTCTTCTTCTTCAATGGCTAATTGCTCCCAACCCATAGGAATCCCCACCCAGTTGACTACCGTAAAATGGTGAAAGCCCTCAATG